CCCCCCCCCTACGACACAGGTCCGATCCGGCGAAACAAAACCAGACCGTCGAAACACCGGCGTGTCCGCTCGACAGCTCGGCGTCCAAAGCGGTCCCTTGCACCTGCGTCACCTCCGCCATCGCGGGAGAACACGGAAGTTCTTACCTCATTCACGAGGTGACAGCAGGCGTAACCAGCTGCAAAAGCCAGCTGCCCTACAGCTGCTCTCGCACCATAATGGCTGCTCGACTCGGTGTGTGGTGCGACAGAGACGGTGCGTGACGTGCGGAAGAGGCTTGTCAGTAAACAAACGGATGGTGTTCCTCGCAGATGCAGGCTTAGCGGTGGGTCCAGGCCTTGGAATAACTCTAATCAGTGCACTGTGCAGAGCGGCGTCAAGTGAACTTATGGTAGCGTGGTTTCCGCCGAGGCGTCTACGAACAGTCGGCGTTTGCGTTGTTAGCCTATATTGTTATGTTTACAGGGTCTAATAGAAACACCTGTTTTACGCAGTTACCGTTGTTTTAAATGCGTTTCCATCCCCATGACGCAGAGTGCATTGTTTTATTGGATGGCTTAGTTGCCGGCCATAGGCGGCTGTTAGACCCCGAAATTAAAGCACCAGATTTAGTTACAAGCGTACCAGGAAACTTCTGTAAAAAGTCGGATTTTTACATCCTTCCCCGAGAAAGGTAGGCAAAACACGTACCCTTCGGAAATTTGAGCGTAATTTCGGACCAATGATGTGAAAGTTTTCCTCTACTTCACTAGGCAGACATTGCTTGCATTTTTAATTCTTTTTCTATCTTCAAAGAGGCATCTGCTGTGAGCCTTGATAACTTGAGCAACTTGCAGAGTCACTCTGAGGAAACATTTGTTGATGCAATGTGGCATAGCTTTCCTAGGCCTTTTTTTTCTCGAAATTTTTCTAATAAATTATTACATAATAAACAAATTAAAATGCATGAGAAGCCTTAAACACTGGCACAAATTATTTGAGTGGGACTCTAGGCCTATATTAGTATAATAAGGGGAGGGGGACTGAGAAAGTTAGACATGGGAAAGTTAAGGAGTAAGGAGAATTTTCAGTGTTAACACATAAAGGGTTTAATTATGGCTTGACTGTCTTATAGGTTCAAGTCGGACCCAACCTATACAACGACCTTTTACGTGGACGACAAACATGGTCATTTATGAATTTCAAAAAAAATTACTATAATAAAATTATAAAAGTTTAAAAGGAATTATCGTTTGGAAATTTTTTAAAATGAGGAATTGAAATATCTTGCTACTAAAGTTCAATTTGATCTTAACTGCTGTTGCTTGTAATGTGTAAATGCTGAGTACTAAAATATTGTTCTTGGGTCATGCATATTGTGAGTAGTCAAAATAATACTAATTTTACTAGCAACATAACTTCATTTGTATTTGTGTGTTATGATGTAAAGGGCAAGAAAATATTTTTTTTTTGGGTGCATTCCCTATCCCACACCTGATACTTTCTTTTAGTTATTATGGTGGTCATTTAATATACAATATAATATATACACCATATGTATTTATTTGGTATTTGGAATTTTGAGTAAGAGATTTCACTGTCAGTATCCAGGTTCTTCCAAGCCAAAAGTTTTCTTACAACTGAATTAATATGGCTGGATCAATGAATGCTTATGTAGGAACTTATCTCAAACTTATTTCTTATGTGATTACAGTCCTGATTGAAGGGGAGGTACAGATTCATAGTCTTGGGTGAAAAGGGAGCAAACTGCAAATTCACATTCCCCTATGATCAGTTTTCATGATAGAAATCTGCAGTTTTGTCTTGTGCAGGTATCACCAAAGCCATGACAAGGTCCAGCCCAGTTCTTGTTGAGCACGTATTTCAGCTGTGTGTTCTCATTGGAATAAGAAGTGCATTGGATTTTCTTCCATGTGCAATCTAGGGCATATCAATCCCCAATATCTGTCTATTTTAGTTGGCCATAGCCACTGAGAGAATAATAAACAAAGTATTGAAGCAGACACCCTCACACACTCTAGGATACATTCAATTGTGCGAGCATCTGTATCAATATTAAGGAGTAAGTGTGTACGTTTGGTAGATAGCAACTGGTGGTTCCATGATTTGTCCTCTCTGATATGTACAGATTCATCAATAAATACTAAATTAGGTAAGATGAAATTCTATATATATTTATAGCCATTATACATTATAGAGATCACTTGCCCAGCATGATATGTTATGAAGTATGAGGTTCTATGTAAGCAGCTCGAGTTAGCTTGAGCTTGAGTTTCACTTGATTAGTTTTTAATTTTGGAGCAGAATTTCAGTTTCCCCTCTACCACAACCATCATAACAGCTGGCAGATTGTATATGAAAAGTAAACGTAATCACCCTTTACTAACACCTTCAGAATTGTCAAGAGATTATTTCTCCTGAATGTTACTAAGGTCTGGAAGTTTTGAGACTACCACTTGATAGAGTTAGGGTATCAGTTTCTAACTTGCGTGTTGGGCATCAAACAGCAAGAAGCAGTTCTTCATAGGTAGAGCCTGGACTCCTCTAACAGATTGACACCACATTGGGCAAATTTAGCTTTTATGAAACTTTTTGGAGATGTTTGCCCTACCTGCCATTTGCAGAAAATGCAAGACCAAGGTAGTTATTACTGCGAACTTGCTCAAGTCTTTCCCCTTTGTACACCAGGTTTTCTCCTTCCAGTGAGTATGCTTTGTACAGTCTTGGATTCATCTCTTATTGACCTAAGTGCAAAAGGACTGTAAAGCATGTGACTCAGGCCTAAGGGAGTTATAGACATCAATGCTAGATCATTGGCATACAGGAGGCATCAAATTCTCTCATCTCCTGTGTTTGAGGGGTGATTCCCCCCAATATTCATAGCTTCAACAACATCATTAATGTAAAGGGCAAACAGAAGTGAGAGAGGATAGAGTCATGTTTAACTTCTATGTTAGCCGCAATGGGTTCAGACAAGGGGACAATTTGACTGAAACATTTTTCCCCCATGTACATATCAGCCAGAAGCTGAATCATTTTGGTGGTATGCCCTTTTGCTAATAGTTTATGCTAGAGTTTGCTCCATGAGGGACGATTAAATGCTTTCTGGAAGTTAATAAATGCTATATAATGCTATATATTCTTGATGACAGTCTGTGCTTTCATTCCCTCAGATGGCAAACAATAGGTCATACAATTTAAGGTGGAATTCCCACCATGGAGAAACATTTCGTAACTTTGAAAGACTCAGGAACCGGGAGATGTTTGTGGATGCCACCTTGTCCTGCAACGGCCAGCAGATCAAGTGCCACAGGGTGGTGCTCTCGGCCCCGTCACTGATGAAGCTCTTCTAGGAGTTGGCCCTCCTCTACCCCTCGGTGTGCCACGTGAAGATACCCCACCTGTACGTGGAGAACTCCGACGACCACCTGAAGTACATGACGCCCCTCCACCTTCTCCCCTCTGCGGACCTGGAGAAGTTCATCAACCTGGCTGAAGATCTGGAGGTGAAGGGGCTGAAGGGGGATAAAGCGAGGAGCTGCACGGGGAGTGGGCCCTCGATACCTGTGGCCGACATCGGGGATGCTCTGGCACACAAGCGAAAGCTGTCTATGCAGGCTGTGCAGACCTTCACTGAGAGCACTCCCAAGCCTAAGATGCCTCGAGCAGCTGTCCATCTCTCACCCCATGTCACCCTCATACCTCACTCTCCTGCCAATGTTAGCATCAAGGTCGGTGTTCATTGTGCTTCACTATTAGCGTGAGGAAGACATCTGATATCATTCACTTTGGTACTATGTTGAGAGGGTCAATCTGGTTTTGTGGGTCTGATTGATCACTATGGAATGAGATTGAACAGTGCTAAATAATTATTATAGTAAATACCTGTAAACAAGATTGATTCTGTTGGTTCCCCAAACTCCCCTTGATCACATCTAGGCTGGCTTTGTGTACATGCTAATGATGTAATGCAGAGGAGGTTGGACTCCTGCAGTCATTCCATTCAGAGAGCTAGGTTTATTGAAAACCTAATTTGGTATCTCATTTTATGAAGTGAACAGCTATTGTTGCTTGGAGTGAGTAGCTTCAATAATGAATTTGATGGATTTTCAGCGGTTGCCAGATATCTCAGCGGATGAAGGACTGGAGGCGGAGTTGAATGGAAGTGAACAAGATCCACCCATTAAGGAAGAAATAGAGGAACAAGAGTCTCTTCCAGCTCAGGTAATACCGCCATGATGGAATGATTAATTGGTTGATTGATTAATTTTTTGGCTGGGTGTTAACCTCATCTAAATAATTTGAATTAGTAGTAATACATTAACCAGTAAGGGAAAGTGTTTGACATGGAATCAAGCTTCCTAAGGAATTTTCCCTTGAGTAATGCTATGTTGAGATGCTATATTCAGGTTCTCTNAAGCCATGACAAGGTCCAGCCCAGTTCTTGTTGAGCACGTATTTCAGCTGTGTGTTCTCATTGGAATAAGAAGTGCATTGGATTTTCTTCCATGTGCAATCTAGGGCATATCAATCCCCAATATCTGTCTATTTTAGTTGGCCATAGCCACTGAGAGAATAATAAACAAAGTATTGAAGCAGACACCCTCACACACTCTAGGATACATTCAATTGTGCCAGCAACTGTATCAATATTAAGGAGTAAGTGTGTACGTTTGGTAGATAGCAACTGGTGGTTCCATGATTTGTCCTCTCTGATATGTACAGATTCATCAATAAATACTAAATTAGGTAAGATGAAATTCTATATATATTTATAGCCATTATACATTACAGAGATCACTTGCCCAGCATGATATGTTATGAAGTATGAGGTTCTATATAAGCAGCTCGAGTTAGCTTGAGCTTGAGTTTCACTTGATTAGTTTTTAATTTTGGAGGAGAATTTCAGTTTCCCCTCTACCACAACCATCATAACAGCTGGCGGATTGTATATGAAAAGTAAAGCATTAGTGGGAAATGATTGTGGAAGTCTTAACAGTTCTCTAATAAAGAGGACTTACAATGATTCCAGACCTTCAAAACTCTGATGGTGAACTATCTCAATCCCATAGTCAAAGATTGAACGCACAATGGCATCAAACAGCAAGAAGCAGTTCTTCATAGGTAGAGCCTGGACTCCTCTAACAGATTGACACCACATTGGTCAAATTTAGCTTTTATTAAACTTTTTAGAGATGTTTGCCCTACCTGCCATTTGCAGAAAATGCAAGACCAAGGTAGTTATTACTGCGAACTTGCTCAAGTCTTTTGTCACCAGGTTTTCTGTCTTTCTCAAGTCACCAGGTTTTCTCCATTCCAGTGAGTATCCTTTGTACAGTCTTGGATTCATCCTTATTGACCTAAGTGCAAAAAGACTGTAAAGCATGTGACTCAGGCCTAAGGGAGTTATAGACATCAATGCTAGATCATTGACATACAGAAGGCATCAAATTCTCTCATCTCCTGTGTTTGAGGGGTGATTCCCCTCAATATTCATAGCTTCAACAACATCATTAATGTAAAGGGCAAACAGAAGTGAGAGAGGATAGAGTCATGTTTAACTTCTATGTTAGCCGCAATGGGTTCAGACCCCCCTCTAAGGGGACAATTTAACTGAAACATTTTTCCCCATGTGCATATCAGCTAGAAACTGAATCATTTTGGTGGTATGCCCTTTTGCTAATAGTTTATGCCAGAGTTTGCTCCATGAGGGATGATTAAATGCTTTCTGGAAGTTAATAAATTCTATATAATGCTATATTTTCTTGATGACAGTCTGTGCTTTCATTCCCTCAGATGGCAAACAATAGGTCATACAATTTAAGGTGGAATTCCCACCATGGAGAAACTTTTCGTAACTTTGAAAGACTCAGGAACCGGGAGATGTTTGTGGACGCCACCTTGTCCTGCAACGGCCAGCAGATCAAGTGCCACAGGGTGGTGCTCTCAGCTGGCAGTGACTACTTCGAGAAGATCCTCAACCGGGAGGAGATGGGGAGCCACACGGTGCACTTCTATGGGGTGGACATGCACCTCTTGAGGCTGCTGGTGGACTTCATGTACTGCGGGGAGGTGGAAGTCCCCTCTGCGGACCTGGAGAAGTTCATCAACCTGGCTGAAGATCTGGAGGTGAAGGGGCTGAAGGGGGATAAAGCGAGGAGCTGCACGGGGAGTGGGCCCTCGATACCTGTGGCCGACATCGGGGATGCTCTGGCACACAAGCGAAAGCTGTCTATGCAGGCTGTGCAAACCTTCACTGAGAGCACTCCCAAGCCTAAGATGCCTCGAGCAGCTGTCCATCTCTCACCCCATGTCACCCTCATACCTCACTCTCCTGCCAATGTTAGCATCAAGGTCGGTGTTCATGTGCTTCACTATTAGCTTGAGGAAGACATCTGATATCGTTCACTTTGGTACTATGTTGAGAGGGTCAATCTGGTTTTGTGAGTCTGATTGATCACTATGGAATGAGATTGAACAGTGCTAAATAATTATTATAGTAGATACCTGTAAACAAGATTGATTCTGTTGGTTCCCCAAACTCCCCTTGATCACATCTAGGCTGGCTTTGTGTACATGAGAAAGATGTAATGCAGAGGGGGTTGGACTCCTGCAGTCATTCCATTCAGAGAGTTTGGTTTATTGAAAACCTAATTTGGTATCTCATTTTATGAAGTGAACAGCTATTGTTGCTCGGAGTGAGTAGCTTCAATAATGAATTTGATGGATTTTCAGCGGTTGCCAGATATCTCAGCGGATGAAGGACTGGAGGCGGAGTTGAATGGAAGTGAACAAGATCCACCCATTAAGGAAGAAATAGAGGAACAAGAGTCTCTTCCAGCTCAGGTAATACCGCCATGATGGAATGAGTTACTTTTTTGGTGGACCCCTCTCGCTCCTCCTAGTAGACATTGGTTGATTGATTAATTTTTTGGCTGGGTGTTAACCTCATCTAAATAATTTGAATTAGTAGTAATACATTAACCAGTAAGGGAAAGTGTTTGACATGGAATCAAGCTTCCTAAGGAATTTTCCCTTGAGTAATGCTATGTTGAGATGCTATATTCAGGTTCTCTTTTATGGTCTGTTTGTCAGTTTTCTCCTTTATGGCCTTTTCAGCATTTTTTTAAGTACAATATACAGGATGCATTAGAAAAATGGGTCGAAGTACAATTTTGAGTTTAACTTGAATTGTTGTTGGACTTTAGTCTCTTAAGCTGGATTTATGTTGTAATGTCTTGAGGTTATTGAGTTTGTTAGAAATATGTAGTCTGTTTTCTTCTTGGATTAAAAAAGAAAGTACAAATTTAGACCTTTCATGTTTGCCTTGGTCTCCCTGGCATCATGCTTGTGTACCATGATATTCTTGATTATGTCATTCAAGATCTCGGCAGAAGTTGCTCCTCATTCAAGTATCATGAGATAAAATTCCATGCCATTTGCTGAAAAGCAGTGGAATTTCTTAGTATGAACCTGATAATTCCCATGTTCTATTTTTAGCATTGAGCTTCTCACACTGGTAGGCCTGGAAGATGAATGTACTGGTAGGTTATAGTATCTATATTATAGGTAGTTTAAATTATAGGTCTATTTGGTAGACCTATAATTATGCCAATAGAGCTTTTGGTCTTCTGAGATAGCATATCACAAATTTTGCAAAAAAATCCAGATGGTATTTTGTCATAATTGTTTATCCCATGTAGTAATGCCGTAGCTGGTCCATGGATTGTGCAATGAAAGGATTACGATTCTAAAGCCAGTTCCTCTGCTCAAATGATTGGATAACATCTGAATGTGAGCTATTGTTTGCAATGAGATGGGGCCAATGGAAGATATTCACTGTGTTCTCCTGAATAGGGCCCATCATCATCATCGTGGATGGAGAATTTGGAGGACACATCTAGTTATGATGCGGGAGGTACGAGAGATTATGCTGGCATGGAATTGCCAGTCAATATTCCTCCTGAAGTCAATCCTCAGGTGAGTGCTTCAAAATGGATACTCTATGGGTCTTTTCAGGTTGTCATCACATTAGACAAGTTTATTTGCAAGAGGAACTCTCCTAGTTCAGGAGTTGGGAGACAAGTGACAGTGTTGTAAAGTTCTTCCCGGGTGTGTTGCGTTTGTGTGATGATGCCTCTTGGCTCTTGAGCTTCGACGAGCTCGTATGAGGCCGATTAGGAATATGGGGATAATCTGTGAGGTTATACATTTGTGGCCTTTATTTTCTGGCAGCTCTTCAGTTGTGGCAGGCATTTTTCTTGCTCAATTTCTATTCTACATTCCTGGTACACTCAAGCAAGCACTGAGGAGCTGTGAGATGAAATTCCTGCACCAAACCTTTTTTTCTTATGATTTCTCATTCTTACAGTTTCTCCTTTGCTACGATTTTCAGGACGTGAAATCTCTCCCCTGGTCTCTAGGCAACCACATCTAATCTGCTATGGAGCATCCTTGTCACAAGAGTCTTATTAAACCTCTGCTCCTGTACATACAATTTGGCCAATGTGGAGAAAGGGTAGAGCAAACCTTGGCTTCTGGGTTGGGACCTCCATGGACCTAAGGGTGTTTATTTCAGCGGGTAAATTGGATATGACCATTCAGTTCGGTGATCTCAGACTGATGCTTTAATGCCTGAGGTGTTTGAGTTCATGGTGAGTGCATGAGGCTACATTCTGAGAGAAACACACAACTGGGAAATGCTGGCAGGTGAAGATATGGTCAAAAAGCCCTCGGTTGATTGAATATTGGAGATGGGCTGAATGATATTATGTCTGATTTGCATTACCGACTGGTCCAGAGAAAGATATTTATTCCATGGTGTGTTTTGATGTTGGATCCAAAGAGCAAAGTTCGAAAGACAAGTATGACAGGTAACTAACTTCATGCATTCTTTAACAGAGACAGCCAATCTGGTGTGGATGGTTCCATAAAATATGTAGTTAAAGAGAGATGCCTGTGAGTCATGAATCTTTTCACAGCCAGAATAGATTCTGTCAGCAGATAAGAAGTATGCACAAGCTTGACCTTTAGAGTTCAGAAAATGTCTTTAAAAGGAGCATGTGCTTTTGCTGTTCAACATCACCTATCTTGAATCTCCCAGCAAATATTCAAAGGCTTAGAGTCTTTTAATTTTGGTGACCAGATAAGGGATGAAGGGGTATGCTGGTGTTGAAAAATTTGTGAAAACCTTTGGAATTTTCTGATTGCCCTAATCTATCAAACCCATAACAAGCTTTTATATTCCCTCAAGGATTGGAAACAAATATTTCACATACAGTATGAGCAGTGGAGTATGGTATGAATGGAGCAGCAATTCACTTCATCATCTTCCTGTTAATGATTGCATTGCCTTTAGATTTGTCAATGTAGAAAGAGCCTATATGTATTGCAAAGATCTCAGGTACTTTAGTGCAAACATTCTTGGTAAGAGTCAAGGGTATCTGAAGTATAGGAGATAGTTCAAATTATTAGAATTCATGGCAAATAAAAACCTCATCTGTTACATAAGGTTTGTATTTGCATAAATTAGAGGGGGGGGGAGCCCCAGGAATTCACTTGCCCCATACCTCGCAACTTCTTAATCCGGCCCTTGTTGCTATCTATAATTTTGAAGCTCCCATTCAATGCCTGAGACTGGGATGTTCAATCTCAAGACATTGGCTTCCACACTGACATTGGATGACACATTTTCCCCCCACTCCAATATACTGCAGCTCCCCACTTGCATGCAATGCAGGCAGCAGTCCTCTCCCTGCCCATCATCATTTTCTTCATTGCCCAGTGGACCCATGCATCTCTGTTCTAACCCTTGGGAGCCCTATTTACATCCAGCAGGATGTAGTTGACTCCCAAGGTAGAGCAGTGCAAGCAGAATCCTATTCATGAGTTGATTGGTATTGCATATCACAATCGGAAGAACCTTAACCCTTTCCTTGGCAGGGATATCCAAACGTCTCAAGTATGTCGACCTAATTTCATGCTGCATGCTAATTCCATGGAAAGGGTTGAAATATCCTCTGCTGGTGATGAATATGAAGGAAAATATGTTTACTAATGATGCCTATGTTGCCATTGTGGGTAGATAAACCTGAAGGTGAACTTCATGCCTTGAATTGGTTTCAGATTTCATGGATTATTTATTTTACAGATTACTTTTGTAAATATGTAAAGATGTATCAGCTGAGTATTGATTCAGTTAACCTGAACCAAGCTCTCTTTTATGCTGATATGTGAAGGACCAACCGATTCAAAGTTACTTTATGAACCTGTTTTCCTGCATTAAGGCATAACAAGGGTGCTATCAAATTTTTGGGCATCATTTGGGTTATTTGGTCTTATGCCAAAGAAATGGAGAAAACTGCCCTATTTGAGTTGTGAAACACTTTTACTGTTTTAGGCTGGAACTCTGTTCCATGCTGTTACAAGTTTAAAAGCATCCATAATATTTCATGTTTCAAGATTTCATTTTATCTTGTCTTGTTGGACATACTATATATATCAGAGTAAAATCGTTTTCTCTGCTTCTTTGGCAGACTGTGGAGGAAACAGAGGCTTTGCTGTGGAGTGGCTTTTCTTGGGACAACAAGAAATGGCATTTCTGCGCGCTGTGCTCGTATAAAAGCGTCTACAAGAACAATGTTCGTTCCCACCGAAGAACGCACACGGGTGAAAAGCCGTATTCTTGCGATCTCTGTGGGAAGCGATTCTCCTCTTCACAGGCTGCTCATCACCACAGCCTGCTCCACATGGAGTCGAACAGTGTTCCGTCTCAGTCGCAGTCAGAACTGCCTGGCGCTCAGCAGCGAGAGTTGCCTCCCGACACCGTGGCAATTCCCGTCTCTGGACCCGGCTCCCCATAATCGATGGCTTTAAGAATGCGTGTTTAAGTTAAATCACATCTTATGCGTGCATTAGGTTTCATCACATTGAAAAATATTGCATTTATGTGCATCATGGTTGCCATCATGCTTGTTGTACAACACTCACAAAGAATACTCTCTTTCCTGATCTTTGCAAGAACTCCATCAAGGATTTCCTTTAGCATGGGTTGTTATTACAATATTTCTCTGGAAACTTGAAGGGTTATTTTATAAATGAACTTTTTATTGCTAGGGTTGAATTTGTGAAAGGCATTTGAGGACTGCCAACACAAAGCACTCTCCCTAGGAGTGGTCTTTCAAATTAACTCTCTTTATGCTCATTCAATGAGCTCATGTTCCTTTCACCCCGTTTTTCATGTTATTATTCAAACATGACCTTTTCTAGTGCAGAATTGAGCTTTCCCAACTTGACAATTTTCACTCCTTTTTGTGCCATTCAATGGTGAAAGACTGTGATTCAAGACTGATACCTTTTATGAAATGGCATCTATGTTTGTATGAATTCAGGGAGCTCTTAGGCATATTCAGGTTTCATTTCCATTCAGATGTGCTTCCATGAATATTAGTTTTCGGACTCATTCTGACACTTGTCTGAGCCGTGCCATCAGAAATGCATAGCGCTGGTGTCAGCCATTTGAATGAGTTATTCAAGTTTGAGTAGCCAACTTTATACCGTAGTTGTTCCATTTGGCCCTGCTTATTTAGTCACCAGGACTAGAAAGCTGAGGAGCTTGAAGAATTCTCTTGCCTAAATACCTAGAAACAGTGGTAGTTCCTTCCATCATATCCTTCACAGATTGGGTTTCTGAGGAGTTTAGTCAGTTTCTGTGCTTTCTCTGGAAACGCTGTGCCATCCTTAGCTTTCTCCTATGGGCAATCAGGAGTTGAGCACTTTTCGTCTTAGGAATCAGTTTCCATGGGAGACTGGAGTGAGATTATACTTCACTGATGTTACATGAGGGGGAACCCATATGGCACTCAAACTTGAGAAATTCAGTCAACCATAGGTGCTGCGACCAAGGTAATTTGACTGGTTGGTGGGCCCATGAGATAAGAAGCCTAAACCTGAATTAGAGTGCATTTGCAGTGCCATCATAGACCAATCTCTGGCTTTTCTGTTAGCTGTTTGGTTGCTTGAAACTCTCAGGTGAAAACTAGGTGTTCGATGGTCTTCCGTCTCCAATCAGATTGGACCTGTAAAATGGCGCTCATGCCGACATTGGCTTTTTCCGATTCACTGTCGCATGGCCTACCTGCCTCTTCATATTCCTTGATGGCAGCTGATGAAACACCACGATAGGCAGAGGCCGCACGCTTGACAAAGTATTTTCCTCGTATGTAAGACTTGTCCATGGGTATGGAAAACCTGATTTTTAGGGAATGATATTTCTCTCTATTCATTATATTATATACTGTCATGGATTTTATGTTTCCGTCTCGAATGAGTTGAAAGTAATTTGCTACTTTTTGTCATTCTTCCACTGTGATATTTCTTGACATTGACGTTTTGCTTTCTCTCGAGCTTGTCAGCCACTGCTGGAAGCGAAGTATTATGACCTTGTGATCGCATTCTGTAGATGCTGATGCCTGTCGACCCTGTGATCTGGTGCGGGAAGTCCTGGGCGAGGAAGAAACTGTACTTCTGCTCCCAGTGTCGGTACAAGTCGGGTCGGAAGTGGAACGCCGTCCTCCACGGCCGGACGCACACGGGGGAGAAGCCCCACATCTGTGACGTCTGCGGCCACTGCTACACGCACCCGCATCAGCTCAAGGTCCACCGAGCCATCCACTTCCCGTCGACCTCGCCGTCCGGCAACCCGGACGAGTCGTCCACCTGAAACGCCCAGACAGGCAAATCCGTCACGAGGTTCGGCGTAAGATGTAAATAACCTTGTACGATTTAAAACGTAAATATGTACGTGTGGAAGGGGTTTCCCTGCCGATCTCCACAAGTGATCCATCAGCATTTTACTCGTGTAGGTAGTTGTAGAACATCGGGATGTTGTATAATGTTTGTGAAAAATATTTGTCAAGTGAAAAGTGGAAAATAAACTAGTATTACAGGCTTGGTTTCGTGTCATTCTCCGAAACAAATCGCTAAAACTTCCTCTTGTAGAGGAGACCTGGACCTGGAGTCCATAAACATGAAGGAAGCGCTGGTAGAATTCGAAAATAATGACAAAGTTTCTCAGTTAAGTTGCATTTACCCTTTCTTCTGGTCTATCGAGAACGCGCAATCGCAGGATGGCTTTTTAAATGACATCAGGATAGAGAGACTCTGATGTCATTTAAAAACATTTTTGAACCGAGGGAGCCAGAGGTCACCTCGAACGAATCCATCCATTTCGCAGTTGTTGGTCACGGCCTTCTCTATCAGTCCTGTAAGCCATATGAAGTAAAACAAATACGTGAATAAATTCCCTTTCCCTGGGTTCAAAACATGCGTTGAAGCTGAATTCGACAGATATGTAAATCGATGAGACTTCAATTTTAGCGCACGTCATGAACGTGATGCTCGTTTCATGATAGAAAAGGGGTGCACCGTTTCCATACCATTTGTGCAGTATCATTAATTGTAAGCCTCATTAAACTGACAATAATGTATCCGAGTTTTTTCCTTTTTATTGCAATACAAAGTGCAGCGAGGCAAGGGATACATGCCGGTCGTTTCAATAGTGAGAGCTGTTGAGACGACTGCCCCCAGAAAACCGATGGACACGACCTTGTGAAATTTTGTATGCCGATTTGACCATGCGGAAGGAAACGTACACAGTCGTGTGGTGGTTTATCATAGCATTATGGTCCAAAAACGGCATGCAATTTTATAAGAGCTCTTATATAGTTATATGTTATATATATATATATGGAGCGGACTTCTGGCTTTGGGGTTACCTCAGGAGCCGTCTTCACCTCAACGGCCTCGCCACGTGCCACGAGTTGGAGAGCATACAGCCCGCTTCACATCCCTTACGTGCTTCGAGCAGCAGTTAGGAACGTGTTGTCGCGGTTGGAGATGATGACTATCAGGAGAGGAAAACACGTCGCACAGCTATTATAAAACGCATGCCGTTTGTGGACCGTAGATGCCATCGAGTGCGACCATAATGCAATCATAAACCGCCACGTGACTGTGTACGCTCTCTTCCGCATGGTCAAATCGGTCAACTCGCCAAAAATTTCGCAACGTTTTGTTCATCGGGTTCCTGGAGACGGTCGTCTGAACAGCGGAAGAGACTTCTGAAGCACCCCGTATATCTCTGCTTTTCACGCGGTTCCCACGCTGCTCCATTATGCATGGATTTGCAAGAAACCTAAATGTCCTTGGAGAGTGGCCAAACCCTTTTTTGTTGTTGCCAAGTGTCAGCCCCACCGACGAAAGCCGTCCATGGAGATGCCTGTCAACGGGGAAAGCCCGATTGCCCCTCGTCCCCCCGCCTCCCCCGCAATCACCGCGCAGCTGCCCGCCGCACAATGCGGTGAAAGTGGACGCTCCCCGCACTCATCCTCCACGCGACATCCCCCCCCCCCTGGCCGGATGTCCGACGCGACAAAGACATCCAGCGCGGATGCCATCAGTCCGCACGTGCGATTGGACAACGGCCGCTGTCATGACTCGGGTGCTCGCCTGCCTTCTTACCTCTTGGGTATTAATTTTTCATATCTATCCATACATTTATTTATTTATTTATTTTATCGACGTGAGCTTTACCAGAAGCGGTAGATCCTATTCCTGATTTTCTTCCGTTTCTCTCACCATTATAATATTTTGATCGGTAGAAATTTCTTTTCTATGGGTGTGTCCGAGCCAAGTGGCCGGGACGATGCCAACTTCTCACTTGGCTTTTAAAAATTTAAGAAATTACGTCATTTGCAGCCTTGTTAAGCCCGAATTCGGATGCGTCATCGTGCTTTTCTCGATGAAGGTGCTGGCGCCGGGGATCCTCACGCAGAAATTGGATGCCGCCACCTGTGAAAATGCGGGGAATGTTTCTGCCTGTCAGAGTTGCGTCACGGTCAGTCATCAGGATCTGTTATTTTTTTCATGGCTTTCATCCATGGCTTTTTTTCATGGCTTTCATCCATGGCTTTTTTTCATGGCTTTCATCCATGGCTTTTTTTCATGGCTTTCATCCATGGCTTTTTTTTCATGGCTTTCATCCATGGTTTTTTTCATGCTGAATTCTCGGTAAAAGACTCTGCCGTCAATTGCTATCCGGAGCTTTCGCTCTTGCCGAGACGATAGCAATCGTTGGCTATCCGAAAGTTCGCTCTCCAAGACGCTGGCATTCCCTACCTGCATGGTTGCCAGATGGATGAGCTCGCGGTTTCTGGGTTTCTCGCACGGAGAAACGAGGACTGCCGTGTGATTTCGTCCGTGGCGATCCTGCAGCCGTGCTAAAATTGAAACGAGAAAGATTTATGCGGTTGAGGATTTTCAGGAATTAATCATCGCGTTGTTACGGAAATCCTCGTTGAGGAACGGTCGACCAGAAATTCGGGACGGTCGACCAGAAATTCGGGACGGTCGACCAGAAATGCGATTAGAAAAAAGTTCCTTTGCCGCCTGCAATTTCAGGCAAACCGCTTGAAATCCCTTGGACTTTCCCAAGATTTGCAAAATCCATGCAAATTCACGCAGGCGCTGGGCCGGGTGAACTGGATCTTCTCCCCCGTGGCATCCCAGCAGGCCTTCCTCTCCGGCCTGGCCGCCTGCATCGACGGCAACGTCGCGAACAACTACGCCGGCCTCGACTTCGTCGCTCGCGGCCGCTACAGCGGTTGCGCCGCGGGTCTCAGGGTGAGTGCCGAATTTCTCGCTTTCTGCGAATTCTGCTTGGATTGCAAAAATGTGGATTCGACGCCAAATGCGGATTTTCTGTCGGTGCAGAGAAAATCGTGAGCCTTCAGGAAGTGTCCAGGATGCCTAACACCCCTTCAGAAATTGATAAATATTTATTAATTTTTTTTGCAATTTAGTTTTAATTAAATTGCATAGTTGTTGAAGCAATCACGCGGTCAGCTTTCGAATTCGCATTTAAACTTGGAATTGGAATTTAGTTTTTACTTGCTCGGAGTGTCGGCTGACATGCTTGGGCCAAACGGA